ATGGCATGAGCAAGTCCCTATAACGGATAGAGATGTGTTTACCTTGGACTCATGTTTGACGTCTTCTTTACAGTAATCTTTATGAAAATACTTTTCTCCCTGGGGATAGACTGTTTTCTTGTCCACAAATATGTTCCTGAAATATTTTATAGCCAAGGAACAAAATGAAGAGTTAATTTATTTCACTTGCCACAGAGCTAAAATGAGCCATTTGTTGCTATTTGTTCATGAAATGTAATAAAAATGAAGGAGAAAAAAGGGGAGAATGGTTTGGAGTCAGCTTTACGAAAAGATACTTTAAAGATCAGTTTTTACATTTGCTAGCCTTTACTAACAGCTTTTCTCACACATTAGAGTTCATCATTGATCTCAGACTCATCCCTATCTCTTTATGCATTTTTCAATAGAAATGCTCCTAAAAGTCAGCTGTTGTTGATATGAAGCAAGGCACAGTGGAGCATGAAACAGATTTTGGGAGTTCCGTTCATATTTTTGCTATCCAACTGTTTTGTAACTGTGGATCATTTGTGGATTTAGGGACAAACATTTATGTCTGGTGAAGTCAATTGATGACTTTCAATAGTGTTTCAGTAGGCTTTAAGAATGGGACCTGCATCCATTTGAATGAATTGATTTTTTTGCCCAGATCCAGATTAATCAATATTTTCTTATTAAACTTATTCTGGATTTCATTCAAAAACATGAATTCAGTACTTTAAATTTCTCTTGTTTTTTTTTGTAAGCTCCCTGTCATGCTTCTATTTGAGTGTCTAGAGGAAGTTTCCTGTGAATCGCAAAAATGCTTATTTTGGGGGAATTTAGGTAATTACAATGGTAGTTGTCCCGGCAAATTTCAACATACAAGTTGAATACACAAGGCTTTTTCCTCAGCTGCTATAAAAACCATCATGACATCCATCTTTGTGTTTATCAATATTATTTGTGACATATAAGCCAATTCTGAACCAATTTTCAAGTCCAGACTCATCTGACATCCATATTGTTTGCACACAACACATGGAGTAGCACAGTGCATGCACTTTATGACCAAGTTGCAGCCAGACTAATAAGCTGCCACAAAGCTGAATTGCTGCAGGCCAGTTTCCTGTGCTTAAGTCTTTTCATGAGCCCATTCTTAATCCTCTAGTACAGAAATAGCCAGAAATCTATAGATCTCAAATAAAGGATTTCCCACAACTCTTATAAGAGATTAAGATAGATTTTAATTGGGTCCTCAAGAAGCTTTGTATAATTGCATGTCATGTCAGTATCAGCTCTAACAACTGAGTTAAACTGTATCTTCATCACCCAGGTCCTTAGAGGTTGCATGTGATTTCACTGCTTTTATAAGTTTGGTCCTTTATGAAGTTCTTTAGATTGCCCAATAGGGTGGGAGACATCACTGTGCAAGGAAGCAGCTGTTTAAAAAAACCCAAACTCTTAAAATAATTAAATTAATAATTTCTTCAATTATTATTTATTCATTAAAGCTGCATTTGTTGAGCAGGCACAATATGCAGATGTCTGGCTTTTAAAGAATTAAGGTTCTATTAAAATAAAATGTTGCTAAAGGAGTCTGCAAACACAATAAAAGAACAACTTCCTGTGAATGATTTCAATTCTCATCAGATTTCTGCTTTCAGTGTGATACAGTGGAACTGTCAATTCAACTAGTGTGATGCTTTGAATTTAATCGCCTTAATTTATTCACAGTGACCAGAACCATAAGTACAGGGCTCTTTAATTAAATAATAGTCTCATAGAACACAGAAAAAGAAGCTATATTCATTGGGGATTGTTATTCTACCTTTCCTGCTTTTAATAAGGACTTTCAAAACCCTCAAGAGTCACTTATGGTCCTTTCCTACTAATGAAATGATTAATAGAACATTCTAATTACTCTGTAAAAAAGCAAGACATACTTCCTTTTGAGCCAAGGGGAAGAGAAAAACAAGGATTATTCTAAAAATTTTGGTCAAACAACTGAGATGTAAAGAGAGGAAGATAAAAACCCCAACAGCCCACCTGAATTGCATTAAACTCAGGTATCAGATCCTTTAAACCCTTCCTTCACAAATCTCACATGAAGGAAATGGTTTAATTGCAAACATTTATATTTCTGCAAGACAATATTACATTGAGGAATTAAATTTTAGCATTTACTACAAACTGAAGTTTCCCTGCTCTCCTACCTACATTTTATTCCTTCATTTTCTTATTAAAGTCAGACTGTGTGACTATGTAAACCTATGTATAAGCAGTGAACTATATTGCGGAGCCAAAAATTTGACATCTGTTGGAAGAGGACTCCAGCTTGCTCTGCCTTGGTCTGAGCTTACTAGAAGTTGTTGCTGTGTTAACATAACCATGAGCCTAAGCTAATAAATCTGCCACATGCTTAGGTATTATATGTGCCTTGAATCATGTCAATAGGTTCCATGCTCTGCAAATACTTCCACTGTAACCAGTGGATCTAATTTCTGCAGCTGTACGTCAGCCCAGCTCACTGGTACTCTAGCAATTTATATCAGCTGAGGCTTTGATTCATTATGTCACGAAATCACAACCTTGACAACAGACAGCTGTATAAAAGTTCTTGCAAAGCATCTTCTGTGGCTTTGAATCCTGGAGATCTCTAAGCATAGTCCTGTTCATCCTACAGATAATGGAACTCCTGTCATGCTGCTACCATTAACCTCTTCAGAGTTTATAGTGCAGTGTCTCCGTGTGCTGTGACCTTGCAGTATAAGCTATGATGGGCCATCTGAATCAACTATTGAAACAAACCCCAGACTTTGAAAAGTACCCAACTCTCCTGAGTGCCTCCGAGATGAAAAGTAGAGTATTCTGTGATATACAAGATAGGGCTGGACAGATCTGTAGATCCAAGATAGTTATAGAGACAGCCAGAAGCTGTGATATACAAGGCTAAAAGCAGAAATTAGGAGACTTAAGGAGTCAGGCAAATTATCTTGCTGACTTCCTGTATAATTTTGGGTCAAGTCACTTAACTCATTCTGTCTGCTCTTGTCACCTGCTGAGTAAATGGCATTAAATAAAAAAGTCTGATACAAAGAGTATTATTTAAAATAACTCAAGTGAAGAGCAAGAAAGTTCACACGTTTCAGGTGTTTTATTCCTGGGTGGTGCCCTACAAAAATATCACGTGTAATAGGCAGTCTGTCTCCAGGAGCCACAAATTACTACAGTTAGAATGGACTATAAATCTCAAGTAAAGCCTAGTCAATTCTACAAGTGATATATTTCTTTTATTACTGACCCTTTATTGCTACTTTCACATACATCTATCTTTTTTTCTTGGGCAGAGGGGGTGTCATGCTGCATTAATATTTTTCTCAGCAGCTTTTCTAGTCTTTAATTAGCCCCTTTCTCTTTCCTCCTTGCATCAGGAAGCTTTAATCTTGCTGCTTGGCTGTGAAACAAAATACAGGAATAAGAAAGGTATTTTAAAATGCAAGCTGGGAAATTCTGACATTCAACCCCCCTTTCCCCCTATTTTTTTCCTAGAATGCAGGGATTCATTTACTGTCACTATTTGTGGAAGGAGGTCCTTTTCAGTTTAATTTTGCATCAGAAAGACAAACCTTTAAATAGAGAACACTAATTTAATTGCTCTGTGTTGAAATTATGAAAATGAAATAATTTGCTGTTTCTAAATAAACATCCCTAGATACATGTAATTCCCTAAAAAGTTTTTCTTTCCAGTTTTCATCTTGACTCACCTTTGAGGAAAGAGTTGAACCATCTCTAGGTGTTGCAGTGCAGTAGCAGTGTCCAAGTCTATTAGCTGTTCATAGCGCCTGAAGCTCTGAGTTTCAAGGGATTGGAGGAAGGTCTGGTAGGAGTCCAAATCTAAGCATTGAAGACTGAGGATGTGATGGCCTCTCTGGTAAATGTGGTCATGAACAATAAGCTCTGAGTCAGTTATGCATGATTTTTTAACAGCCAGGCTGGACACTAGACATTCAAGCCTGAGCAGTCAGTAAACTGCTAAATTAAATCCACTAAGACAGCAAAAAAATGTGTGGGGTCCAATCTCTACCACATAGCAGAGAAATGGGACGGATAAAACCTTTCGTGCCAGTTGCAGGAGACTGAGGGACAATACAGACTCCTTGTACCACACAAGAAATTCTTGACTCACTCTTGATATCAGACAGGACAGTTCTGCAGATCTCCAAGACCACACTATTTTGATGTCTGAATGTGAAAATCTCTTGAAACAAATACACAAAACACGCTATGCTGGAGAGAGACAAATCTCTCTTCCACCCTCAGGGACTGAATGCAACTTACAACTGCTGAGTGAATAATTAGTGTTAATTAGCACTAGAAATTGATGCCTTTGGAGATAGTCTGCCAAGTTTTTAAGCACTTTAATACTAATGGATTTTTTTTTTTTCCTCTGGAATAAATCTTTATAGAGGAAGGAAGTGCAAATTGATTTTTAAAGAGCCTGTCCAATGTTGAATTTATCTTACGAAAACATTGGGTTTAAAAACAATTACATTTACCTTCACTGTATTTTAATGCTTTTTCCAGTTGGGTTCATTTCTCTTTAAATATCTTTGCTGTCACTTTTTGCCTAGTTTCTTGGAAAATGAGTATCTGGAGTACATGTGCATCTTCAGAAGGTGATAGGTTAAAATATGACACTGTGTCAAGCTATTTAGTTCCTAAATCATTCTCCTGTTATGAAAAAGTATTCTGCTTTAGTGATAATGGCATTATAATGAAACTTTGAATGTAAGAGTAAAGTTCACTGAGCAGCATAGAGGCAAAGACCTAAACGTTAAGAAAATGGTGTGAGCAATTTCATGCCTTCTCTGTCCAAACAGTTGTTGACCTAGCTCGGAATCCTTTTTAAGGTTTCTTTTCAGATTCTTTCAGCTAAAATCAAGTAGTAAAGCAACAGGAGGTAGAATGAGGACTTAAAGCTGTCCCTCTGACTGATATAGTATATGGATTTGGGCATTTCCATTAAACCTGTAGCCAGTGCACTAACAGGTCAAGGAGTGGCAGGTAAGGCTCTTATTGCACTGCTGGCTTTGTGCAGTGACAGGGATGCAGTAAGGTGCAGAGTTTGGTTCCAGTTGCTTACCTAATGGTAAGGTCAAAGATATCTTGATTTCCACAAGTTCTGGGCAGCTTGAATTCTCCCTGAAGTTTCTGAGAAAGACATATATTCAAGACTTCAGAAGTCTGATAAGAGAAAGCTTAGACATTTTTGCAGGCAGCTGATATGAAAAACTCTAAAACAACATATAGAGAGATCTGTCTTATTGTATTGTATATTATATGGGAGCCAGGAGTCAGAGCATTAAATCAGTGCAGTAGTTTCTTTGCTGTTAGTATCAGTAATACACTGAGGAATTGCTGGAGAAAGCAGAGCTGAGAAAAAGGTTCGGAACATATACATGCTAAATATTAAGTATGTTAATTACTGCAGAAGTATGTAACTTTTTGGCAGAATATGGATGCCATGTTCACTGAGGCAGCCTGCTGAGGGTTTTTTTAACACTGTTCAAATTGTGCTGACAACATACAAATAAAATTAATTTCCTGCAGCAAGAAAGAGGGACCAATTTTTATTTACAGGGGAAAATGCTTGTTTTTCACTGCCAGCTTGAGACATCAGAATATTTGTTCACAGCAGTATAAATATGAGAGTTACAAAATGAACAAAGGCACACAACAGCCTCTCTGCTCCTCCCTCCCTCCCTTCCACTTTTAGAATAGACGTATTTTCTTAAAGGTCATGATCCAAAATCATTTCAAATCCATTAAATGCCACCAGTGATTTTCATAGCCTTTAGATGAGGCTGTCTTTGAAAATGACTGTCTGCTCCACAAGAGTAGATAATTCTCTGACGCCACAGGGGACCTGTGTGGACAAGTTACATTTGCATTTGCTTTAATGACAAATTGAACTTTTGTTCATGAGGTGCACAAAAGGGAGGCAAATCACACATCCTACCTTGTGGACTATAGCAAATGTTGGATTAAAACCTGTCACCAAAGTCCAGAGACCATTCTTTAAACCTAGCTTCTAAGTACACTGCATTTATGAATTGGAGGTTTTTTGGGTAAACGTGTTTTGGTGTTTGTATGCTAGACAAATCCATCCAAAATTACAGGCATGTGGACTATGTGCTTGTGACAGAAGAATGAGACAGGGCAAGTATGTGAGACATGATAACACAAATGATGTATAGCTGGCCCAGGCTGTGTGTCATCAGGGGGCAAAGCCTAGTGCTGGAAAATGCCAGTCAGAACCCTCTGTGCACATTATCACCAAGAAACACAGATGTTTTTCAAGAGGAAAAGCCTTAGCAAGTCTTTGGATTTACAAGAGAATGTTTCATTCTGAGATAGACTGAGATCCTGTGTATCTTTAAATACTGAAACTCCATAATCTTTAGAGTTGCGTGTGTACTTTAGAGTAGCACTTGGAAAACTCAGGTAAATAACACCTTCTTTTTCCAGTTTATTTATTTTTGCCCTTAATACCTGCATACAGACAAAAGTTACTTGCTTTTACTGTGACTAAATATTAATTTATGTGAAATGTTTTACCCAACTAATCCCTACTTCATAATGTACACAGACAGTAATGATATGAAACCTTGTTCATCTTCAATGTGTATTACCAGGCAGTATACCAGACACACGATTGTGAAGATGTGCTTTTACACTTGTTTGGTCTCAGGTTCTGTAAGTTATTAGGTTGGAACAAAACATCAAAGGAGACCAACAAACAGTGGATATTGAATTATTTTTGTTTATGCCAGCCAGAACCAGAGGATCTTTGGGGATCAAAAATACGTTGCACGCCAGTATTGGGAAATTCACTAATTTATAACAATTTTGAGCTTAGTGTCTTCTTGAAAGTGTCAGTTTTCAATGCTTTTCCAGCACAAAATTTTACTAAGCTCCAATACTCTTTGCTTATACCTCTCCCCCTGTTGCCATCATCCTCCCCCATTCAATGTCTTTTGCTCTCCAGGTATTTTGAACACAGCATGATTGCTCTAGAGATTATTTTCTCCTTTTTTTTTTTTTTCTTGTTTTTGACTCCTTATTACCGCTAATTAGAGTGTTATTAACTTGGCCTCAGTTATGACAATATTCAACACCTGCTTCATGCAACAAGCACATTCCTTTTTCCTTCCCTAGCACTGCACACCTGGGCCTTGAATTATTCCCTTTGGCTGAGCTGAAAGAAGAGTGTGAGAGAGTCGGCCCTTGATTTTTCTGGGGTAAGAGGCTTTTAATTTGTGACTCGACATGGATCTTGTTATTATTGATTCTGCAGCATGTTTTTCATCCTGAATGTACGTGGTGACTGACACTGACAGTTATTTGGAAGAATAGTGATGTGAGTGGTATTTCAGTAGAAAAAAATAGGTAGGATTTAATCTGCTTTTAACTGAACTGTATTGTTTCCTGGAAAATCTCCATGGTGAGAACACAGACATGTACAGACCTGACTGTGGCTTGACTGGAGTGTGCAATGTGCCAAAGGCCAGCAGTCCTCTGGAGCTCCAGCTCTCTTTTGCTTCCAGCATTAGTAACAGCAGGGTGGAAACAGAGGGTCACTGCTTTGTTTTGTTACTCAGAGAAGGCTTAGCAAAACCCAGAATTTCTCTCATTATGAGTGATGTTTCTGAACTTGATGCTATTAAGTGTTAGTGAAGCAGAGACCTATAAGGGAAAGTAAGAAACATGGAAGAAATGGAGAGCATCAAATGAGATTACTCTGTGATAATATATCTCATCCAAAAGCTGCACTGTTTGGGACCGTATTGCAGAGAAATGTTTCCCTACCTCTCTGATTCTCTTCAGGGGTCATGCTTTTTCCTTTGTTTAGTGTGGGTTTTTCAGTTTTCAAAAATGGAATGAAATCACAGCAATATCCCATGGAGTGGACAGTGAGGGCAAGGGAATAGGGAGAGGATATAAGTGTATCCATACAATTTAGATTTTGTTTTTACCGAATTATGAAGTACCAAAGCTTCTGCATCTCATTCTCATTCAAACCATGGGAATACTGTGGGAATTGTAGTGTGAGGCACAAGGCGATTGGAGAGAAAGGTTGAACTAGAGAATAAGTTTCATAGCCCCTTTTTTAGCCATTAAAATTAGCCATTTATTTAAACAGGTTTTGGATTAGGTCTGAATTCTAGTATGTATGAAACTTGTATGTCTGTCTTTTTCAAATAGAGTTTTAATGTGCCAAAATTCTTTAAATCTGAAGAGAGCTTCTTTCTCAGGTGCTCTCCAAAATTTTTTTTAAATAAAAAAATAAAATTCAAATATGCAAATAACGAATTTCCATATATAGAGTTTGATAATTGTTAATCTAGAACAACAACGTGGCTGTCTTCTAAGAGGATCTTATCAAAAGAAATTTGATATTTCCTTAGTAAACTGAAAAAGTATAATTTAAAGTCATTGCAATTTATCGTTTGCTGATGACACTAAGCTGGGAGGGGTGGCCGACACGCCAGAAGGCTGTGCTGCCATCCAGAGGGACCTGGACAGGCTGGAGAGCTGGGCGGGGAATAACTTGATGAAATATAACAAGGGAAAGTGTAGAGTCCTGCATCTGGGCAGGAACAACCCCAGGTTCCAGTATAGGCTGGGGAACGACCTGTTAGAGAGCAGTGTAGGGGAGAGGGACCTGGGGGTCCTGGTGGACGACAGGGTGACCATGAGCCGACACTGTGCCCTTGTGGCCAAGAAGGCCAATGGCATCCTGGGTTGTATTAGAAGGGGGGTGGTTAGTAGGTCGAGAGAGGTCCTCCTTCCCCTCTACTTGGCCCTGGTGAGACCTCATCTGGAATATTGTGTCCAGTTCTGGGCCCCTCAGTTCAAGAAGGACAGGGACCTGCTGGAGAGAGTCCAGCGCAGGGCAACTAAGATGATTAAGGGAGTAGAGCATCTCCCTTATGAGGAAAGACTGAGGGAGCTGGGTCTCTGTAGTTTGGAGAAGAGGAGATTAAGGGGTGACCTTATTAGTGTATATAAATATATAAAGGGGGAGTGTCACGAGGATGGAGCCAGGCTCTTCTCAGTGGCAAACAATGAAAGGACAAGGGGTAATGGGTACAAATTGGAGCACAAGAGGTTCCACTTAAACCTGAGAAGAAACTTCTTCTCAGTGAGGGTGATGGAACACTGGAACAGGCTGCCCAGGGAGGTTGTGGAATCTCCTTCTTTGGAGACATTCAAAACCCGCCTGGACACGTTCCTGTGTAACCTTATCTAGGTGTTCCTGCTCCAGCAGGGGGATTGGACTAGATGATCTTTTGAGGTCCCTTCCAATCTCTAACATACTGTGATACTGTGATACTGTGATCTCCTATGAATTAGGTTATCTTTAATTAATTATAAAAAAATTTAACTGATCAACATTTGTAATTGAAAAATCATTTTGAATTGAAAAATAAAGCGTGTTTGCTGGGAAATGTAGTCACTAAAAGTATATTTTTTAGCATTCAGAGTGGAATGGTTGAGGTTTATTTGAGAAGAATTAGCAAAAAGTAATGGTTGTTGGCTGTCTTTTTGAGAGCTGCAGAATTTCTCTTAATAGTAAAAAAATATGAAGTGAAATCTGTTTCTAAAATTGAAATAAGCAAAACCCAAAAAGGGTCCAAAATGAAGTGGCACTATGGAATTCAGGCAATCTGGGTTCACTTGCACCAATAATTCTGTAAAACATTGAACTTAACCTCCTTTCAGGTCTTTATCAAATAGGCAGAGTGGCTTTACAACAAGCAGCAGCACCATATCCTGATATCTTTACAAAGGCCTGGAACAGAACTCATGCATCTTTTGTGGCTATAACAAGTCTTTTGAAATTGAGGGGTTGCTCTAGTTTGTCTCATTTTTAGAAGAATTGGGTTGTCAGAACTCAGCTGAAGCTACTGATGATAGGCAAATCTGAAAGTTAGTATCCTGGAAAAATTGCTATGAGGAAGAGGAGGAGGATGACTATCTAATCTCCTTCTGTGATATGTGGTTTGTTTTCTGGAAGGGGAGTTGACAGAGTTTACTGCTTGTCTGTCGATATCATAGACATAGAAGCACCATGTGTTAAAGTACGTGACCTTGTTGCATGTATGCGTACTGTGAAAGCAGAAATTGATTGAAAGCAGTGAACATGTATGCTTAGCATCCAGTACAAAGAACTGTAAATTTTACATCAAGTTACTAAGCAGCTTTTAAACATTCCACTATTTGTTGATGCAGTAATTTTCTAGACGCAATAAGATGATAAAAAGATCAGGATTTTTCTTTATAGCCTGAACTCTTTGACCCAATCCAGCTATATATCTTGATGTCTGGAAGTGTGAAAAGATCAAAGACAGAGTATTTTCATCCGAGGTCAACTTTCCTCAGTACCTAATGCATACAAAGGAGGACTTTTGCACACACTAGAGTGATACTGGAAAGTATATGTTTATGACAGCTCTATGTATGTTCTGTAACATTTTTCACTGAGAATAATTTTCAGCTGTACACTATTTTCTGTTGCATTTCAAAGAAAAAGAAGGAAAGGAAATTCTCAAATGACCAACCCAAGATGGCACTAATGGTCTCTCCCCTGGGTTTTCTGAGAGTAACTGCTGTTAAAACTACCTATGGAACTGTACAAACCATATGAATCAATATTTGTCCATCTGAACTAAAAAGGAATTAATAGCGGTCTTTAAAATAGAAATTTGTCTCACATTTATATTTTATTTTGTCACCCACTGATAGTTATGTATATTTATATACACAGTTTTCTTTCCATTTCCCACCGCCTGTCTTTGGTCCCAATTCATTCATAATTACATGATTATTGGTCACAATAATTGCTGAAGTAACTGCTTGTGCTGATAGAATTGAGGCTATACTGATTTTTCTGTAATGAGCTGCTTTGGTTTTTCCTCAAGGCTGTAAGTCAGCCATGAAATAGCCAAGAATAAGGCAGCAGAAGTTCATAATTTGGGAAAGCTTTTGATTTTCAAAGAACTATTGATACAGTGGAATTGATCGCTTTGAAGCTAAAATGTGGTAACAGGCACATTTCTGTTTGTTTCTTCCTTTGAATGAATTTTGTGTCTCAGCCTAATAAGGGTGCTTTTTTTCCTCAGAAAATAAAAAGTTACTTTTTTTCAGCCTGAAGTACTGCAATGTAGATTGCATTAAAAATAAAATGGATGTCCGTGGAGGTAAACGTTTTGGAAACAGGAGAATGGAATTATTATGTGATTTTATTAAAAAGTATATTTGGTAACAGGGGAGATGTCTGTACTTAAATACAGTTACACAGCCCACAGTTTGGCAGGGCAAGGCTCTGAAACCCAGGAAGTCTCAGGAATGTGCTTAGTTTATTATTCCAGCATCTTTAGAAACCTCTGATTCCCTTGTTCCCCTTTTATGGAGGAAATGTGAAGTTTCCTCATCGAGACTTTGTGCACCTTAGGCTGCTCTACCAGTGCTGGTTCGGTTTTGTACTTTCACTGTGCAAGGGAGACTACTCAAATCACTAAACGCTGGTGCTGATCAATAGCACTGCAGTGGTTGAGGTGCGTTACTGATGGTTACAGCCACACCTGGCACTCTCTGGTATTACAGGATCATTATGCCTTGTCTTCTTTAAATGCAGCTTTCATACTGCCTTAATGAATCCTGTAGCTGTAAAAGTTACCAGCTAGGCACCACTAAAACACAGAATTGAAAACTCTCAGCTCACTGAAGCTGTAATGGATTCAGTGGCTTCTGTGAAGTTACTGCTGTTTGCAAGAGCTGCATATTCCTGGGCAGCAGAGGTTATGAGCTGGTCCTTATAACCTCATAGCCATGAGGTTAACAAAACATACTGAGAGGTTTGTAAAGGGAAGTGTAAGGCTAACTGTGTGCCTCAGCATGGCTGGATCCTGCCAAGATGCACAGTTAAACAGGATTGGAGATTTTTCACTCATTTGAGCATGAACAAAATTCTAGAAGTAACAAAAATATCAAAGACGACTTCAGTTTGGAATCACACTTTTCTCCATCACTAAACTGGCCTACAACATAGAATCATAGTGTCATAGAATGTTTTGCATTGGAAAGGACCTCAGGATAATCTAGTTCCAACCCTCCTGCCATGGGCAGGAGTGCTTCACACTAAACCATGACACCCGAGACTCCACCTAACTTGGACCTGAATACTGTCCGAGTATGTACCACTTCTCTGAGCAAGATGTTCCAGCACCTCACCATC